GGTTCCCTTAGTGACCATTCAAAAGTAAAGAATTTGGGTTTTAGTATAAAGTAAGTGATCACCATAAAAGTGACAATCGACAGAGCATCCTGTCACTTAATTGATGCAGAAGAGGCTTGTGTTCAGGTCTGGAATAAAAGAAGGCGCTGGAAAGTTTCAAAAATGAAGAAACCTGCCTCTCTGTTCAGGGTGCTTGACCTGGTCCACAGGGCACTCAGGGTGGGCTTTTCACACCATCAGGAGCCTGTGGCGTGATATTCAAGTTTCCCAGAGGGGCTGAGAAATGGCTAAGACTCAGGTCAGGAGTCGGCCATAAAAAGCCCAGAACAGTTTCATGAGGAAACTTTGGATGCAGAGAGTCAGCCCTTGGCCCTGGTCCTGGCCCTGTGTTGCCACCACTACCTGGGCGTCTAGACCACATTAGTGTCCAGAAATGAAATGACCTAGTTCTGGGGGCTTTGCAACCAAAAGAAAGGGGTCAGCACTTATAACTAAAAAGGAAGTGACGGCATGCAGGGAATCCCTCCTTCCTGTCCAAGAACACACTGAGTCCACCTTGGCTCGTCCACACACCGTGAAGCTCAGGAGCTCAGCCAGACACAGGGCATCAGGGAGGAAATCGCAGAGTGTCCTGTTCTCGTTCTTAGGGCAGTGCTGGGCTGAGCCCAGGGCCTTGGCCAGGTGAGCTCTCTACCACAGGCCATGCCCCGGCACAAGCACTCCTATTTAAAGCTCCAAAACTCTACATAAAAGACAAGGCAAATAATGAGATTAGGTTCTGTCTCCAGGTGGTTCTAACAACCATGTATTTCTCATCATACTGATAGGAAAACAGAAGCATCTCACTGAGGTGCTCAGGCACCTGGGGGGCAGCCATCCCGGGGCCACATGCTGCTGGGGGTGGCAGGCAGGTTGGGGTTCAGTGGCAGGGAAGTGACAGAAATGAAAAGTGCCTTGTGTGTGCTACAGTCAGTATGCGAGGACTTTGCACAATGCTCTCAAGCAGTCTTTAAGAATGTTGTGCTTCCCATTCCCCAAAACTGCCACACGGGGTCACTTTTGTGGCAGATGGTACTTCAACCGCAGTTTTTGCTCCTGCTCCTAGGATGCTCCTCATCATGTCATAGTCTCACACCAAATAATTAACACTTGTCATTAGCACTGTCTTCTGTTTCCTTTGAACACAATTTTTTATATGATTTTATTATTTTTTATCTCTGTTAGATGAACCTTTCTGGTTCACCATTCCTTCCCACTCTTATCAAAAAAGAATGAGAGACACAGATTTCCTTCTCTTGTTTAATTCATCTTGACAGTTTTTGCTAAACATACCTGACAAATGCATGTGGATCTGTGCGTCTCGGGATCCCTACACCAAAAGCCCTGTCTTCACAGGGTGAGGGAGTTTCTGCAGAAAGCTGCCTCAGTGGACTTCAGTGTCCCCCCCCAGGGCACCACTCCCTTTCATTAGCCAGTCTCCAAGTAAGAGCAGGGTCTTGCCACGTGGGCAGCTGGCTCTCAGCCGGAGCTGAGTGCCACCCTCAGCATCCTCATCTGCTCTCCCTGAGGGGCAAACAAGCCAAGGTGGACAAAGTCATTCCCAGGAACATGAAGCCCTGCAGCTGACCCGCTCCCTGGGCATCTCTGACCCACCTGAAGGGCTCACTGGGCCACGGACCCAGCCAGGCTCTGAGCTTGTCTTAGTGCCAAGCAGCCGGCAGCAACTGGGAGACGTCAAAGGTGCCCTGTTTAGAATTCCAGCCCTGATCATTCTGTGGTTGAACCTCTCCCCAGACACCGGCTTGCTTTATAACTGAGTTACACACAAAATCAGCATCATTAATAAAGGATAATACAGGTCACCAAGTTACACACAGGAGATGGGAAAACACGCACATAAATCGCAAGCTGGTCTTCTTTTCTGGAAAGCAGACATAGCCCACTAAAGAAGTTACCAATTGTTTTTAACCCCACTTTCCCTTAAAAGAAAAAAAACTGCTGAAATCCGTACTAGCGAGACGGTCTCAGGTAACCTCCGTAGGTGTCTGAGTGGAGGAGCTGGCTTTTCCTCCTGTCTCTTCCCACCTCACCCTGCTCAGGACTCTGCGCTGCTCTCCCAGCCCAAGAAAGACGCAGCACTCAGGCTGGCTTCCTCCCATGTCCTTGCAGGACCCAGTCACCACAGTGACAAAGCCCTCGAGCAGGGATGCCTGCCCCTTGCTTCTCCAGGGACTTCCTGTTGTCATCCTGTGCTGTCTGCAGACGCCCTGACCTGAACCTCCAACTCAACAACTTGTCACCTCCCATGGGATATTTCGAAGCCACCACTGGGAATCGAATGAGAAGCCAAAGCCTGGAGGTCCATCTGCGTGATCCAAATCCAAGGGATGGAGCTTAGTCTAGCCAACGACCCTGGACCCTGGCCTATAGCCCCCCAAGTGCTCGTTGGCCTTGAGCGTCTGGTGTGAGACACCAGAGACTGGCTGGCCCCCGATGTGACGGCAAATCCTCCCTGACAGGGCCACCGGGTAAGGGTGCTTCCCACAACCCTTGCCTCTGACTGTCACCACAGGCCTTGGCTGTGGCAGTGGCAGGGGAGGGTGCAGATGTCTCAAAGGGAGCCAACAGGGCTGAGCTCTCCTCTCTTGGCTCCTTCAGGTTGGACCTGGACACACATGTGACTGGCTCAGCGCCATGGACTGAATGGCACCTGCAGGGGCCTGGGGAGCAAGACGGATGAGTCTGGGCCCCTCACACTCTGGGCTGCTCCTCCCTGTGTGCACTGCCCCTTCCCAAGGGCCACTTCTACAACCATGCTGAAGTCACACTCAGGACCACAACGCAGTGCTCGTTCCTGAACATTAGACTTCAATATGTCGAAGGCCAGGGGGAGTCCATCACTTAGCAGGTACTGTGTTTTTGCTGGGCTTGCACCTAACCCTGAACACAGAGCATCCTGCACTGTCAACACCCAGCACCCAAAAGCGGCTGGACAGACTCGGCCTAGTTAATTACACTCCCTTTTATTATGCAGCTTGACGGACTTGGGAGTTTATACCTTACTTATCTGTCCCTCGCACGCTTACAGTCTGGGTTACTAATCTGAGTCACCCAGAGCCAAAGCTCCTCAGACTGGGTAAGAATCAGCTTGGCCTGTGGATACATCTGGGACCAGGGGAGCTGACGCAGCAAGATCCAGGCGCCAGACGCAGAGCTGCTCCCCACCCTTACGTACGGCGCCACCGACAATCCAGCACCCGCGGCGGCCACCGGCTCCTTCCACCTGTGCATGTTTTATTCATCACTGTGAAAATCCTTGGTGAAGTGACAAGGACGGGATTCAAAAAACGCTGTGCAGCCCTTTTTAGAAAGGATCTTAATGGCTTTCCAGAGCTCCGCCATTCACATGGAAACACTGCTGCACTCTATTTGCCCAAATATGTTCACAGCCTCTGTACTCCTAGAGCTAATCTCTGCCCCCTCGTGCATGCTGATGCCACGAGAAATCTCGTAGCTTTTATAGTTTGTACACTTAGAAATCCAACAGCAAAAATAAGTACATGATGCCCATCCCTCATGCCCAGTCGGCCAGGCTGGAACGTCTCAGGAGAGCACGTTGCCCCTGATTAGTACTGAAGTTACCTAGGCTCAAGTGTACAGTCTCCTGTTACATAGTTGGAAAAAAAACAAGGCTTGATCTTTAAAAGTGAAAAGAAACTCAGAGAAGCCCTGAGTTGCTGAGCCAGCTTGTAGTGCTGGTTACCAAGTGACCCAGTACCACCAAGCACACTCTGACCCGGGAACTCTGTAGTAACCACAGCCCCTGCAAGCTGATGGACCCACACAGCAAAGTTGATGCACCCTAAAATGGCACACCTAGTTCCTGCTAGCTGATGCTACATTCCTTTTTTTGGTTTTTAGACACTAATTTTCATGTCCATCAGCTGGGCACGGTGGTGTACACCTATCATCCCAGCAACTAGGGAGGCTGAGGCAGGAGGATCATGAATTCAAAGACAGTCTCAGCAAAACTGAGGCACTAAGCAACTCAGTGAGACCCTGTCTCTAAATAAAATACAAAACAGGGCTGGGGGTGTGACTCAGTGGCTGAGTGCCCCTGGTATTAAAAAAAAAATCACGTACATCAATTTGTGGGATATTTTCAGAGATCCTCATTTCAGATCCGACTCCTAAGATCCCACTTCCTTCTTATTTCTCTTCAGGTAAGCACACTTTGTAAAATGCGGCCGCTTATTCACATCTATTTATTCCATCAGAATGGTGAAGGACATTTATGAGGGACCCTGCTGTGCTGTCTCGTCCTCTGCCCTCCACGCGCACACGCCCAGGATTTTTGCACACAACTCCACGGCACTGACCCCCCATGAGCCAAACATTCTCATCACCAGTGAAGAAGCAAGTTCTAGCATCTATTACCTTTTAAATCTGATTTGCTTCTGATGATTTCATTCAGCATTTTGGAAGGAAACTCGTGAGAAATCCTTCACTTTCTTTAGAAGTAAATGTTTGCTGTCTCTGCTTGGACAGAACCAGGATCCTTGGAGACCCCGAGGCTGGGCCCTCAGGTGGCCTCCGCTCTGGACCACCAGCACAGGAAGGACACAGCAGCGCCTGGGCTCTGCTCCTAGCAGACCCGGGCAGAGGCAGTACCTGCGTGGATGACCTTCCCCAGGAGAAGCCCTGAGAGGCACCTGCTCTCCCTAGCCAGGCTGCAGTGCAGATGGGAAGACTGAGCCTGGGCACAGAGGGAGAGGACTGCCCCGAGGAGGGCTGCTCTGCACAGTCAGGAGCCCTGGGCAGATGCAGGCGGAGGACAGGGTGTCACCCCTGAGTGGCACCACCCTGTTTGCTGAAGCTTCTGACAGAAAATGGAAGCTGTGTGGCCCATGGCACCCCCTCATCAAGGTCCCAGAAGCACAGATGGTCCCGCCTGGCCACCTGCCAGGAGATATGGAGCTGGACATCCCCCCGCCACTCACCGTAGGCCGCAGCCTGGCAGGCCAGCTCCCGGCACAGCCTGTCCTGGTCCTCACGAAGGCGTCCCAGCTTCCCGGTGCTTCTGGAACTCAGCCCCAGCATCTTGCCCAGGAGCGCCTCCAGCTCCTCACGCTCACTGCCCAGGGAGCGGATCTCCTCAGCCAGGTCCTTGGCCGTGCAGAAATGGCCTCCTATAGCACAGGGCGGGAGAGGAGAAAGGAGGCGGAGGCAGCTCAGCTGACAGGCCCCGTGCAGCAGAGGCTGCTCAGCAGCAGCACTGAATGGACCAGAGACCCCAACCCAAGGACCCTGCCTTAATTAAGCCTCCCTTCTTGTCAGGAAATGTTTACGAGGAATGTCAAGGTTGGTAGGGTGTCTGCAGAGGGCTCAGGGAACTGAAATGTTATGTTTGTCGACATAAGCTATGGCAGAGTCCGTCCCAAGCTCTCCTAAGAGTGGACAGAGAGCAACTGTTGCATTCCCACCCACCATCAGGTAACCATCCACCCCACTGAGGATACGTCCAAGACAATCTCCAAACTCAGGGCCCAGAGACCCTGGCACCGGCCCCTCCGGGCACTGCAGCCTCAGTAAACCTGCTTCCTGAACGTGCCCAGGCCAGCCTCACCCACCCTACCTTTAGTTCAGCATTGCTGTGCCAGAACTGAAGAGGCCCCTGCTTCACTGAAAATGCCCTCTGCACCCCCCAATTCTTGAGTCTGTTCCAGGGGTCCCCTCAGATATTCCTGGCCTGTGAAAATGATGACACGAGAATGTCCCTGTGGGACCCAGGAAAGCCACAGGCACCGCTCCCAGTGTCCAGGAGGTGTGGCACCTCCCGCAGGGTGGGGAGGGATGGAGCCCTGGAGTCGGACTGGACCTAATTAACACCCCAGTCCTGTTCCTCAAGCTGTGTGATGTGCAGGGAGGAAATCAGCATGCCCAGGACAAACTTTCCATAAACCATTATTGGAATAACACCTGAATCATGGGTTGCTACAGAAATAAACAAGAAATTCTATGAAGCTAAGAGAAACCCCGACACACGGAATATAGCTAGGTTGCAGGGTGCAAAGTCAACATGCAAAAATCAGTAGTGCATGGTGTGTCGTGCCAGAACACCGTAGGAAACCATTTTGCTGTGGGATTAACACGCACCAAGGAAAAGGAAATATCCAGCCAAAGATCAGTGACCTTGTGAGTTTTCTTGGTTGCCTACATGCATTTAATCATTAAAAATATTTATAAGACATTAAAAAAATTATCTACATATCAACAATAAACTATTGGGAGATAATTTTTTTTTAAAACACAATTTATAAGATATTTTAAGATGAGAAACACTTAGGGAGAAATTTAAAGAAATATGTGGAAGAGCGCTCTTTTTTAATACGTACTGAGAGAAAGTAAAGATTTAAATAATTAGAAAGACAAACCACAAACACACATTGGAAAACTTCATGTTACTGAGGTTTCAGCTTCTCCAGATTGATTCACTGATTTAATACAATTCCAATCAAAATTTCATGAGGTTCTTTGGCAGAAATTCATGAGCTTATTCTATCACATGAAAGAAAATGCAAAGGCTTAGAAAACTGGGGTGATCCTCAAAAAGTCCATCTTGGTTTTGAGACTCATGCTGTGCTCACCACACACCACGACAGTCCAGCTTCAGCAGAGGTGGGCAAACACATCCACGGAGAGGAACAGAAGACCCGGAAGTGGACACAAACTCAGAGAGTCGACTGCTTTTCAATCTAAGTGCAAATCCAGCCCCAATGAGCAAAAGGCAGTATTTTCAACAAACAGAACAGCTAGTTATCTCCATGAGAAAAGGGCCGCCTCCCTCCACACTTCAAACCACACACCAAACAGCACAGAGACGGCCACAGGTCTAACGGTGGCTAACATGAAAGCTTCCAGGGGAAACAGGGAGACCCCCTCCCTGGCTTTGGAGCAAGCACATCAGAGAACCCTGAAGACGCGAACTACAAAGGAAAAGGGGAACTTCGTCAAAGGTAGAAACTGTGCTCCTCAAGAGACCCGTAGGGAAACAGGAGGAAACGGCCCAGAGCAGGAGAGAGGCTCACCACACGCACCCCTGACAAGGGGCTTGAACGTGCCACACGGCCACCCAGACACAAATAGCACCACTGGAAATGGGAGGAGAACCCAGGCAGACGAACGCCAAGGAGCAAAGGCCAGAGGCACTTGTCACAATGCTGCTGCCACTCCCGGTGGCCCCAGGCACCTGCGGCTCCTGGTAGGTTCCAGGACCACTGAGCTCTGACTGTGCAAGTGGGTGTCCAGGATCAGGAAAGCGGGTGCATTTAAGTGTTGAAGTGTCAACAACCCAGCAGAAAATCATACGGCAGCTTCCTCCAGCAGCACAGAGGACAGGCTGCATGCTTGTGGGGGACAGGACCCTCGGCAACTGCAGCCCAGAGCTGCTGAAGAAGTCTCCAAGTGTGACGACCAGCCTTCTCCAGGCTCCCCAATCCATACACTCTCCTTTCCAAAGAATGGCCAGGGGGAGAGGGGCAGGTACTGAGCCACATCCCCAGCCCTATTTTGTATTTTATTTAGAGACAGGGTCTCACTGAGTTGCTTAGTGTCTCGCTTTTGCTGAGGCTGGCTTTGAACCCAGGATCTTCCTGCCTCAGCCTCCAGTCACTGGGATCCAATGTGCCCCGCTGGCCCATGCCCAGCTGGCCTGTGGTTTCCTGAAAGCCTAAATGTATCTAAGAGTTACTTCCATGAGCATAAATGAAACATTGAATCATTGTTTCATTGACAGCAATTTTTTTTCTCTGTGGTATATGAAAGACTGGCACGTCTCGATGAAATACATATTGTTGCCTCTATAGCTAAGAAAGCCAAATTCTAGAGAATTCCATATCTTTCTGAGGTCACATAGCAAAAAACAACAGGGCAGTTTTCAAACTCAAACAACCCCAGAGCCCTCCTCTTAAATGACACCTGTGCTGTTCGCCTCTTTGTCATTGACCAACCAGTACCTCCAAACTAATATAAATATCGAAAGTGTCCCAAAAGGTCTCCTACTTTGGGGGCATTCTGAACACCCTGCACAAGCCACTCTGACCTGGAATCGTGGTTTCTGATCCCAAGATGGGGTAGACACGGCTTGACTGCTTTTCTGTCACTGTATTAGTTGATGTGGCAAATACAAAAGAGAGCAAGGGGCTGCCCCTGCCCTCCAGGAGGTGACCGTGAAATAAAGGGTCAAGATGGACTGTAAAGGGCAGGCAAACAAGCCCCAGGAGAGTCAGAGAAGACAGACCACTCCAGAGGGCGGCTGAGGCAGGTTCCACGAGGACGGAATTTGAGATCGCCAGAAGAAGAGACGGGAGCCCCAGGAGATAGCCAGGGTGGGTGGAAGGAGACGGGTGACCAAGGAGGACCAAACCGTGGTACCCACCTGCCTGGGGAAACCAAGAGTGACACTGCAGGGGAGCAGACAGGGCCTCTCGAGTTTTAAACACAGACACACAAACTCTCCCTCCGGCAGGTGCTTGCCAGCCTGCACACAACCAAGCTGGCCATGGAGCAGAACCCCCAAGGCCCACAGAGAGCCTCAGGGACCCCAGGCTTGGGGGCTTGCAGGAGGATAGCCAGAGGTGTGGCTGATGGCCCCTACACAGTGTGGCGCCTTCCCCTGCCCCTCAGGCTGGGTGAAGGAAGCCCCAACCTTTCTCTGGGCCACTTTTTAAGTAAAAGGTTCATGAGGGCCAGGGCTGGGGCTCAGTGGTAGAGCTTTTGCCTCGCCCATGTGAGGCCCTGGGTCTGACCTCCAGCACCACATAGAAATGAGCAAATAAAAATAATGACATTGTGTCCATCTACAACTAAAAGAAATATTTTTTAAAAGTTCATGAAAAGTGAGGTGGGACAAACTGTGACCCCAGAGACACCATGCAGGACCGCAAAGGTTCCGTCTCCTCGAGCAAACAGCTCAGAGGAATGAGGCTTCTGAGAAGAAACCAACAAAGATGCCGTACACAGAGCAAGTGCCCACGCAGGTTTGCTGGGGACATCCTCCAGCCCCCCACAGCCCACCCGAGCTCCAGAGCCAGGGTCCTTAATAAAACTCGGGAGAGATCACTTATCAACCTGACCTCCCCTGAGCCCAGGGCATAGGGCAGAGGACCTGCTTGGTGAGAAAAGGGGACATTCTGTGTGTGCAGAGTGAATTCCCATGGCAGCATCACAACTTGAGCCACAGTAAAAGGCCACACTGTCCCCAGATGACCTTCTATAAGCACTGGGACCTCTGAGCTAAGCCCAAGACGCAAACCTTGCTGGGTGCAGCTGTCCCCAACTGCCGAGTTGGCTAAGCCTGTGGCAAGACCTCAGAAATCAGAGCTGGCCCTGAAGGAAGCCATCAGTGACCTGGGACCCCAGGCTGCACAAGTATGTGGGTGGAACTGCACCCTGGCCACTGGCCACAGGCCACATGCCTCCTCGGTGAGGACGCTGCAAATGGCAGCTGCCTGAAGCTTCGTTCTGCACATCATGCGGCTGAGGCCATGGCAGTCTCACTCGGCCTGGTCTTCCTGGCTCTGCGCACCTCCACGCTCCCGGCCCAGCATTCCCCCCCAGGGGGGGGGGGGGGGTCACTGCACACCTCTTCCTTCCCCAAGGTCACCATCTAAAACCCCAATTTACGGTTTGCTGTGCTCCCTCTCTTCATATGATGGTCTCATTTGACCTCTCCAGCAGTCCAGGAAGGGAGCCTCTTGACAATTGGCCTGAATTTCCACTTGAAGAAACTCAGACCCAGAGAATGACCTTGTCAAGGTCTCAGAGATTTAGATTCCATGAGTGCACAGAGCAGTGCTGATCATGAATTTGGCTCTTCTGGTTTCACAGCAATAAATGACCTGGTCTGAAGCATTGGCCCCATTATCCGTGAAGGGAGGACACACAGGGCCATGCACCTGTGCCCACACTGTCTTCCCCTGACCAGGCCCAGGCCTTGCTCTATCCTTCACCTGGGCGCCTCCCACATGACCTTACCTGTGCCCACAGACATGTCAGTGTGCAATAATCCTCCTAAAACTCTCCACTGTTACCTACCCCCATTTCAGCTGTACTTACTTACTAGGCAAAAAAACACAGTCAGTGCTGAAAATAACCCTAAAATGAGAAAGAGGCCCGTGTCTTTTGTCCT